TTAAACTTACAGAGTATAAACCAAGTAAAAATGTAATTTTACAACCATTACTTGGCTCCCTGAAAGTACTTTTTTACTCATGTGAACCCACTTTTGTACTCGGAACCAGACTACCATTCTGTTTTATTTCATCCTTGACCTGTCTTACTCATTCCAGCTCTCGCAAGCGACGCCCTTGATGATTGGCTGCTGTGGGGTCATGAATATTCAGGACTTCATGAATCTTCAGAGTGCATATATCACTGGTCTCAGTGAAATGACTCGCGTGCAAATTTGACACCTGATCTTTTGTTGTTTTTTAAAGCCGGTGCACTGACAAACTGGTTAGAGAATTAATTTGTGTTCAAATACTTGGGGTGCTGAATTCACTAATCCAGTGATGACTGTGCATACACAGTGGGCTGTCATGAGCAAAACAAGTGTGGAATAATCAGTGGGAGTCCAGTTGTCTGTCATGTCTCTCAAGTGACTCGTGGCAAATGAATTGTGAATTCTTTTTTTTTATTATGGACCAACTGTCAGACATTTGATTGGATATAATGTGCACTCTACCCGGCATGCAACTTGGACTTTGATAAAAAAAAAACTAAGGAATTTCCAATCTGTACAAGACTTTGTACAGTGTTTTTCAATTTTCAGTGGCACGAGCGTGAAGTGAAAACCATGGAAATCCGCCGATCTGAAGAAAAGTTGCATGCTTGTTTACATGCACAATATCCATTGGTTCAGCATCGCACATCAGTGCCAAAGTGGCGCTGGTTACGCTGCACTGCAGTGCCTGCAAGTGGGGCATTTCTGATTCCTAGTGGGCAGGGTTTGTGCCTGAGGAGGGGATGTGATGATGGAGGGGCAAATTTAAGGGCTGCAAGATTTTGGGGGCATTTGAATAATCAGTGGGCGTTGTAATGGAGAAAGCCGCTTTAAGTTTTTAGAGAAAGATGGAAGGGATGCCAGAGAAGCCATGTTTTGATGTTGGCCCAATAGACCTTTTTCACCCACGTGACTGGATTGCATTAAATGTAAACAACACCACCATGTGTGGACCGCCTTGGCCACGTTGATCGCATATATTCCTACGGGCAGCTTCAACCACGTACCAGCGCATGTCGGCTGCATGCTTGACCAGTTTATCTTGAATATGTAGATTACCATCACAACACTATGTCCTCATTACCATCACAACACATGGCAGTCCAGCACGATTGTGACATCGCAGGAAAAAGGTCTTTAGATGGTTACCATGGAAACCCTAGCAGCTGATTGTCCCATGCAGATCTATATCTTGGTACATGTATTTAGTGATCTCTAAACCTCCTACTTGATGAAAATACAAGGCATCTTGGCTCAGAGTAAGGGTTATATGGCTGCTGCAGAATTTTATGCAGATGCTCCACTGTATGTGAACTTCAAAGCGAAGCACTTCATGCATTGATCCTGTTTTGAAAGTACCACCAAGTTTAGTCAAGTTGGTATTCAATTCAAAGAAAGGTCAAAATTAATTTTAACAGGGAACTTTTAGATGACCCCCCCCCCTTTTCGTCAGTTTTAATTCGTTAGCTTCTGATTTTGTGGTCTGGTACTCAAAATGAAAATTTATCGAAATGGAAATTGGAAACGGGCACTGCAGTTAGCCTATTTGATGTATGGTGGTTTGGTTTGGGGAAAATCGTGTGTTCATTCAAAGGTTACCCGCTTACAATGGTGCCCTCCTGTTGTGTCCACCACCATGCTACTTAAAGAGTTATGGTAACTGGCTATGTAAGATTTGTAAGTAGTGATTGAGAGTTGGATCACAGATGTCATGTGTACTGCGGAGAAATCTTGTATTTAAAAAACTGAGTTTGCCGTGTACATCAAACATTTTTTTCCTGGGATTTGAATTTATAATAAAAGAAATCTACACTGGAAATATAAAAATGTACATGTACTGAAAAGGTTTAATTTTAATTTTATTTTCAACATTTTAAGTAATCCGGTAATAGAAAGTAAGCACTTACGCTATGACTGAACAGGGTTGTTATGGTTACAGCTCACTTTTGTAATATTTCTCCCAACGTGCTTGCAACTTCTAAGAAAGTGTTAATTTTAATTCTTGTCAAATGTGATAAACCTGAAAGTGGTACACTTTATTCTGGTAATTTCACCAGTGAGCTGAGAGAGTTCGCTTGCGTTTTGTCAATGTACTCCTACAGTGGCTTTTTAAGGACATCAGAGATGCACTTTCCTATTAGAGCATCACAAATTCCTGGTGGTGCAATGCAGTAGGAATTCCTTGTGAAGTGACATCCAAGGAGCACCACCGTACTTCAGCTGGTGCCAAGGTGTTTCAACGGTGACGCCTCTTGCAGCATGACTGCCGCAGGTCTGACCACACTGTGTGAAGGTGACTGGAAACCTGAGCATATCGTCATGTGTTTCTTGAGAAATTTTCCACCGCGGGTCATCACATGGTGCATCTTTGTATGAGCCTGGTGGATTGTCACGAATCCTGCAATCAGAGATTGCCTGTGGTATAAGCTATGAAGCCCTTGAGGAACGGAAGGCCCTCGCCTGACTTGGCACTGAAGAAATGAGAGGAAAAACAAGGAATCACTGTATATTGTCTGGAATGTAACTTGCTTTGCCCGAAAGAGGGTTTGCATGGCTGCCATTTTGGGGGCCAGCACTTTTGCTCCACAGAGTATGCACAAAGGTGGTTTTTAAACTGGGTCCAGTACAGCAAGGGAAAAAAATGAATAAGTACGCAACTATTCTGAACGAGCCTTCATGCTGCTTTCACAAAGTAATCAACAAATAATTTCCATTTCAACTTCCCTTTACCTGACAAGAAATGGCTGGGGCAAGCAACCTTGGGTGTTTTCCCGTATGACCCGTGACACAGTCATGATGTTCTCTATCAGCTGCCGTCTAGTGGCCTTGTCAGATTTGGTCAAAACCACCTGTGAAAGCAAATGACAAAGAACCCTGATGGTCTCTTCCGAAGTTGCACAGTTCAAAGTGTGTAGACATGCACTATTGCCCTCATGAAGGCTGGGTGCATATAATTTGCATCAAGCATGAACTAGATGTGTGCCAACAACTATGCCAGAGCAAATTTATGGTGTAGCGTTGGGCAATATACTAGCCAATCCTAGGCTGATTCCACAGTCCTGAACTTGTCAAGGTTCATCATATAAACGTAAACTATTGGCTATAGACAGTGGTCTATGTTGAAATGCTGCAATCTAAGACTTGCATTTATATTCAGTTAGTAGTGCAGGACTTTTGCCTCCGTAAGGCTTATGAATGAGTACAAGAGGGTCCCATGCCCAGTGGCTTTTGGCCTTAGGAAATACATGTAGGACTCCAGGCTGAATAGATGTGCACTAGTGCCCTCACTACTAGTCAATAGTAAGTATATTCACCAGCTCACCAGGTATGGAATTGCAAACTCCTCCAGCATCTCAATGGCTACATAGTCCCACTGCTTGAGTCCCACGAAGCTGTCCACAAGCAGAAAGGTGTTCCTCAAACTGATGGTAAGGAAAAAACTTTCCAATGAAATTATTTTTTGTCCACAGGACTGTCCACGGCCTCTGCACATGCACTGTGCGCAGAGTTACATGTGTTGTTTGCTGTTGACATGGAACCAGAAGTTAATGTGCAACATCAGTGATCGTCCAATGGGAGCCAGCAAAGTGTGGCGCGTCCGTGTGTATGACCAAGTTCACTTATGAACCGGATTTATCTGGTTTGTATTGGTTAAAAAAAATTTCACTTTCATATTTCTCTTGACAAATTTCAGTGATTCGAAAAATGGAAGAAAATGAGGAGTTAGTACTCAAACACAAGTAGCTGTTTACAGATGAATTTAGTGAATGATGTTATATTTTATGGGCCTCCTTTTACAGCTGAGATCATGAACCAGCTCGTTCCTGGTCTCATGTCCCTCTGTCCCATGCACAAGGCCATTTCTTTTCTGTTTCTCTGGTACAGCCAAACTTTCCTTGCTTTGTAGTTTCTGGTCTGGTCAAGGCAAAATAACCAGTGCTATTACTTTTTCCTGCTCTTGAGAAAGCCCTCGGCTGAGGTGATGAAGTTGGCCGGCTGTCGGTAGCCGTAACCTGGCATGTCCACCAGACTGAAGGCCCGACCCACCTGGAAAAACAACAGCAGCTTGGTGTGGCCCTGGCAAAAGAATACCAAAGAGCAAACATGACTACAACTATTATTTTTTTATGCTACTGCACAAGAGTTGGACCCAAAATAAAACACTTGACAAAAATATGTACTAAAAAGTGCACATGTTCAACCACTTTCATTACCAACAATACCATCTTGGCTAAAGTCCTTGACCAAGCACTTCAAAAAGTCTTGTGGGAACCATCTTCAGTGAGAATTAACCCAAATCTTGCTACTGTAATGTGGGTCTTGGCATTTTGTCAGCAGCATAAATAAAATGTGGTTTGGGGAAGGTCAGAAGTGGGGCATCACTTACAGGTGTCTTTGAGGTCCTGACTTTCAAACCCTCTATTTCTGAGAAGAGGGCTTTAATAAGTGATGACTTGCCGACGTTACTGCGACCGATGAAAGCTATCTGTAAGCCACAGAAACAGCGAAGAGAAAGGACTTTAATCGGCACACATGTACATGTATTGCAAAACTAATGGGATATTATTATTTATTTCTGGAAATGACACCAAGGATTCCTCAAAAGCACTCCAGGCACTCTAGCTCGCAAGGCTGAAGAAACCTGCAGAGAGGAGACAATGAGAAGCAGTTACAGTTTTAGAGGTGGGAGGAAAACCCCAGAGGAATATTCTGGGTAAAACCCGCGGACTCAGGTAGGGACTGAAAACCCAATTCACATGTGGACTGGGCCGGGAATCGAACCTAGACCGCAGAGGTGGAAGGCGAGGACGAGGAAAGAACCACTACAACAACCCAACACCCGAAATGAAGAATGTTGTGGTCAATTGAGTAGGTAGGTCTCCCCTGATTGGAGTTGCTCCCAGGCCCAGGTCAGGACGCTTGTGTCCATAAGGAAGGCAATGTGCTCTAATCACCTGTGTCTACACAATAGTATGCATCCCTGTACTATCTGTATATATTGGGGCAGGGCCAAGGATATTGAGGTAGTCTGGCAGACTAGTGACTGGCCAAGTTGGGGTCAGATAAGTTCAACAGAATCTGATTAAAAAACCAACCTACCTCTGGCAGGTTATAGTTTGGGGCCTCTTCAGGATAGTAAGCACCTCTGACAAACTCAATCCGGTGGCTGGCACTCGAGACAAACAGTGCGGTTGCCCTGGCGATATCTGCTTCACTCGGGGTGAAAATCAACTCTGCATCCTTCAAGATAGGCTGGGTCAGAAATGGCTGGAGTTTGAAGAGAGGATTCAAGGCGGGCTGACTGCTCTGCTGGGAAGATGTCATCCTTGCCAGGTGCAGGTGGATGCGAGCCTCCCTGTCTCCATGGAGACGTGAGTGCATCTTCAGGTGGTGTGCAGTACCTACAGGCCGTTTGAAGTGACAGTGCATTCTTTTGGCTTCAATGCAAGCCCTGACCAGGCTGGTCCTGGAACCAGTCTGAGACGGAAGCGGATGGGCGACACCGCTCTGTCGCTGGTGAAGATGACAACACTGTTGTCGTCTACATCCCAACATCTCAGCCGTCTGCTTCCCAGCACAGAGAGCCCTCCTGAGTAGTTTCACTTTCAGAGTCTGCAAGGAGTTTGTCATCATTTCACACAGGGCTCCTCCTCAAACAGGCAAAATACTGTAAACTGAAGAGTGGGTGAAAAGCAACTGATTATAATCCTCACTCTCAAAGCGTTACCATTGGTCACACTCTCCAACTCCCAGAGATTAGGTTGTGAACGTTACACCTGCTGAGTGCCATTTTAAATGCGAGTTACATGCGTTCACAATTCCTCTAACCTCCCAAAGTTTGTTTGTCACTCTGTTGATGATGTAGGTTTGACTCCTGAATTTTTTCACCAGTTTCCATTTCACCAGGTGGTCACAAAAATAATCATAGGGGAAGTACATGTAGAACACCGTACTGACAGTACATCGTGAACTTTGGTTTAATCTAACGCAAAAGTTAGCTTCATTATCCTGTTTCATTCGTCTATTTGTCATTCGCTTGCCTTATTTTGTTGTTTTACCTGTGAACTTCATCAGCAAGATGTGCAGCCTGATTAATACCAAAGGACAGAAAAATTCCACCATAACATAGCCTTCCGAAGTTCGGCAGCCTGGGAAGACCAAGAAACCATGCACGCTCGCTGTAGCTCTTGAGGGCGCGCTTTGTGGCCACCATTAATTAACAGGGTTCAGTACGAGCTTCAGCCCTGCAGCATGTGCGGGTAGTTCGAGGTTAAGCCTTTCGTGATACCGCTTGCTTTTTACCTCTTGCTCCACCTGAGCACCGGCACCACCCACAGTCTGCACTGCCAATTTGATGTGTCAAGTCTACTTTTATCGTTGGTGAAGCAGTTCATAAAGCACCATGGCGATATTGTGGAGAGTTCAAGATAGCAAGGCAAAGAAGTAAGTGTACCGTGTAGGCCTAGCCTACTAACTATGTAGGCGTAGGCCTATAGTATTAGTATTTGTATTATACTCACACAGTCACACTGACCTATAGTAGTGTACTGTAAAGCAAGTCATGTTGTTAATCATTTTCCTAGTTTTGGACGTAGGGCCTATGCTAGCCCACATTGGATGTCGTCTACATTGCATTGCAGCTGACGTCCAGGGTATTCCTCCCACAATGCGAAATTTTTTCAATGGTTTCTCCCATTTTTATCTGGGGAAGACAGTTCAAATGTCACTCACAAGTGCCTTGTATCCCAAATTCCATAAATGCTTTGTTGAAATTACTAAATCGCCAGGTAAAAATGTGAGAAAAATTTCGCATTGTAGGAGGACTTTATACCCTGGAAGTCAGTCCTAGTGTAAATGAAGACAATGTCCAACGTGGGCTAGGCCTATGCATGACCGTGATGCATGCTGAATTTAAAAAATTATTCAGTTCGATTGCAGCTCAAATAATAATTAAATTCCAGTGGCATGTGGTCAATAGTACACTTTGTGTGCAGGAGATTCTACCTGGTACAATATCGTTTTCCAAATTGAAATTTTCACAAGGACATGTACATGTAGTATTGATAACAGTGACAATGACACTTTTCCTAGTTTTGGATCGGTTTAACCAGTTCCGGATCATTTGGAAATTTCTTTGTGCACTTAAAGTAATCAAGAGAAAGATCCATTTGTCAACCAGAACTATTGCAACAAGCTGATTTTCTGATGCAGAATTTCTTAATTTAAAACTGTAATTAATAGGCTATAAGAATTCCAGTGAATTGAAAAAGAGAATTTACGTAAGTTTTGGCTCAACTGTTTCAGGATGCACAGTGATCTACCATTCATATCCCCTGCCCTGCACGGCACAGTTGACAAAGCCATTATTAATGCATGTAGGTTACATGCCTGAAATTGAGTTTGCCACACCCGTACTCACATGAGCTTTCTGAAGCGAGGAAAATAAATGTTCAGCTTTTGGCAACTTTGCAAAAACTGGCGAGTCATTCTGTTGTGACAGACATTGGATACATTAGATTTTATGACATGAATGTGAAAACAGTACCTGGAACCACACAGTGAGTGATGCTCTGCTCTGTTAATTTTTGTCTATTGGTTGGCTCCCTGTAATACTTAAATCAGACCGGTTGAGTCAGAAATCGAGCTGAAATTCCTTTCCTGAAAATTTCCTGAAATGAAATTTGTACAGGAAGCTTATACATGTATCTCACCTTTTTGAAAAAGCACTTGTCCGAAAATGTGATATCTGAAAACAATATGAGAAAGATGGCTTTTCTTTTCAAGTGATCGTGATCTTGATGTTCACAGGTACAGAGTTGACCTGCTGTTCATCAAACGGCTGGCTGGGATCTTCAGAATCTTCTTCCCATCGCTGAGATCGGCTCACCTGGCCCTGTTTCTCCTGCTGCTGCTGGTGTCTGTCGGGGGTAGGACTTGGACTGAGTTTGCTCAGCTCTTGATGCTCCCCCATGTACAATTCTGCCAACTTTTTAGCTGTTGGCTTGTCCCCGAATTTCATGAATTAAGGAAGTGGATTTGTTCTGCTTTAAATATTTCCTCCAGTCTTTTATCCCAGTAGTCCCTGATAATGCCTGTTTGTTATCACCATTAGTGTTTGGTATTTCTTGTAAAGAACAAATGTATTTTACCTGTTTTTGTATAAAACTGCTCTTACAATAATCTCATTCGACATACGTGTTACAATCCCCATTTTTGCAATAACTCGTCACCGATATCTATTATGCCAGAAGTTCCCTCTCTTTCTGACTGCCTAGTTGCAAGCTTGTGCAGAAGATTTTGTAAGTCAGCATACATTGTATATTTGTATGCTGACTTTTTACATACATACTTTGTACATGTACACAGATTTTTTTTTTCCTCTCAGGCTGTGTCTGAATCACTTGGCTATGGCTTGCAATTACACAATTCTATGGGAACTGGCTGCGACCACAACTGTAGACTCATACATAATTTCTAGCTGCAGCAAAGTAATTGGGACACAGCCTTAGAAACAGAGTTCTGGATTTGTACAGTTTGGGATTTGAAACGTGAGCAATTGGCCGGGGGCTGGGCTGCTACAGAAAAATTAATGTTCAATATGCCTGTCTGAAATTGAAAACCCATCCAGTCTAGCGCCTTAGTTTCTGTTTGATTTTGATGGACTTGGGACTGAGCCCTGACACCATTGCATTACATGGGACATGATTGGTTCTGTAGAATTACTCATTGTGGTATCTTGGATTTTTTTTTCTACGAATAAAACAATTACTGAGGGAGTTAAGATTCAGACTTTGATGTTTGATTTCAAACACATTCTTCAGCTCCAGTAACAGTGGCAACAACTCGCTCATGAAATGTAAATATTTTATGACGTGTTGCATACAAGCCACATGAACAGCCTTGTTTTGTTGCTTTCTCAGCCGAAGTTGCCATCTACTACGTCGGGCTGATCCCGAGTGAGTACAACAAAGTTCTACCAGTTAAGAACTTAGGGGGCTTCATTGAGACAACATGGAAGTCCATGCTCTACATCTGTCTCATTGCACTGGTAAGGCAGAAAGTTCACAAATTATCGGAGAGTTCTGGTCAGGTAACTTTTGTCGCAAGGAAGAGTGCTGTCCTGCTGAGTAGGATCGCGCCGAAAAGTTACGGTTGGTCGGGAAACTGAAACCAGAAGTATTTTTTGACCCTTATCAATTTTTCTGACCTTAACTGACCACAGCTAGCTATACTGGGCATTGCTGGAATCTTTGAAAGCATTTGATACGAAGTCTACACAAAGACGTGTGCAAACTGCACCCTCTTCTGAATGGAAAAAGTTTTCTCTCGTTCACTGCGCACGTGTGGAGGTCAGAAAGTGAGCAAAAGTGGCAAGTTTGCCAAACGTAAGCCACCCAAATGGTTAGCAAATTTTTCTGCCATGCGTGCTGTAAGCATGGTAAGCAAGATCGTTTTGCTAAATGTAACTGTTAAACAGCTTTATGAAATTGTGCCCTGATTTGACTGGCACACTTCATTCCTGAACTGATTCATGTGTGTATAGCACAGAGGGGTCCCGTTCATTGTTGCATCCATCGCTGGAGGTTGAGGATTCAGGTAGGCCCCCACAACCCCTCAGTGATTCCTGTCATGTACTAAGCTTGTGCACCCTATGCCGTACAGATCTGATCCATTCCCCGATCCCATCCGATGTCAGCATCCAGTAGAAAGTAGCCTTTTCTGAACACTTGGCTTGGAGACGTTGCTCGTTTTTCTGACGTTGCAGATTTTGAGTGCTCGAACCTACATCAGCAAGATGCTGTACATCCACTGGCGGGAGGCCTTGTCTCTGTTCATCCACAAACTGTACTTCAAAAACTTCCATTTCTACCAGCTCAACGTGCTGAAGATAGACAACATTGATAATCCGTAAGATCATTCTCCTGTTTGGAAATCTTCGCTTCTGAAGTGTGACGCATTCTTGAAAAAGCCTGCTCCGTGTTCCTCGTTGCTTTTTTTTTTTGACAGAATTCCACATGCATCCAAAAGTTGAACAGCCGAGTTCATGAGCGCATACTTCATTGAAGTTGCGCATGGATTTTAACGTTTTTAACACCTTTAACCCTAACCTCCTAAGGGTTGCTGGCCCTAACCTTCCCAATTCACACAAAGTTAAACACCCATATGGGACTTGAACTTTGTGCACAGAGGTATGCCAAACCCAATGCAAAAGCCAGTAGTTATGGGCCTACCAGACCTATCCCCACAGAATTAAACACTTTACTACTGTTTAATTCTGTGTGGTTGGGGATGGTTAGGGTTAATTGGTTCAGAAAAGTGGCATTTCTGTCATAAATTCTCGATGCCACGTTCTATTGTGAATCATGCCTATTTATTTTCTCTTAGGGGGGATTTTCAAGATTTTGTCGTTTACAAGTTACTTTTGTGTTCTTCCAGGGACCAACGTATCACTCAAGATGTTGAGAGGTTGTGTAACCAGTTTAGTAGCATCGTTCCTCTACTGATCGTTTCGCCGTTCACCATCACGTTCTACAGCTACAGTGCCTGGGCTGCGTAAGTTCCCCCCCTCCCCCCGCCATTCCCCTCGCCCCACCATCCAGTCCTTAGTCCATTGCCTTGGCTTGAATCGGATTTCAGGGATGTGATTTTGCAGGTTTTTTTCTGGATGTCAAGATTTTTGCCCCCCCCCCAAAAAAATTTCTGAATTGTAAAGGCTTAGTCATTCAGGTTAACAACTTGTTCAGCACCTTGCCCGTTGTCATAACAATAGAGCAAAATAAATACCTTGTTATATATTAGAAGTTCTGGAAAGTCATATTTTGTTGCCGTCATTGCTGCAAAGCCCAGATATCCCAGTATCCCAGTTATCAAGCTAAAAATACATGCAATTGTTATTCAGATTATCTGATGAGTTTCTGGTTCTGTGGACTTTTCTGCTGACAATGAAACATGGTCCAAGCAAAGGTGTATTACAGGGAAAACCTGACCTGTACTTGCCAAAGACACCTAAAGAGAAAAGAGAGAGAGATTCTGTCTATTAAATGTAATAGAGTCTGAGTGTGGCTGATACGTGATTTTATTTGAACTTGTCTGAAGATGATCTACGTATATTGACTTAGATGAATGATTAACCATTATCAGTCAAAATGAGGGGTGATTGTCCGACAAACTGCATTAAAATTAGAATTTCTTGCAACATGAGTAGGCGAATTTAACGAGTTAAGTGTTTACTAAACTTCACTAAAACTGCGCAATATGGATAAAGGCATCCTCCCCTAAAAAAAAATTATTTATTCATTGTGAAGTTGTCAAAACAACAACAATGCATACCTGATAGTCACGAGTTAAAAAGTCAATTTAATACCCAGTTATCTTGTAAGCAAATTTTCAACTTTGCAGAAGTTCATGTTCAGGCAAAGTTCGATGCATGCTATTATCAGATTTGATAACATCGTGTTTTTAAAGGGAACAAAAAATCAACTTTTTTTAACCTCTTCTGTCAATGGTGGTTTACTCACTGCTGGATGTGGTTCCACAAGTAAACTCATAAAGCCAACATTGTATTTGTTTCAACAGGTGGGATTGGTAGATGAGGGGAAATATGAGAAACGTCCATCAGTGGGCTTTGTAGCAATGCTTATGAACCAGATGGCCTCCATGCCTGAAAAACGGGGCAGGGGGGAGGCATTTTAATTTATTACTGAAGATCCTCGGGGTAGACGGGGCCATGTATGTGTGACGCCCGTAGGTATTATCCTATTACTCAGTTAATGAGTTGATGCATCGATTAGTGGTTTATGTCTTTCTATTTCTGACAAGCCGCTTTGTAGAAATACATGTAGAGGCATCCTTTGAGAAGGTGGAATTGGTTCCAAGGTTAAAATAAAAAACCTAACATTCTCAAAAACAGTGAACTTAGCACAAAGGAAGGTTGTAATTGAAATAAGATGACGTGAATCGCAAAGATGCACTAATTGTAAAAATTGTAAATGAAAAAAATCTTCAAGATGGACCTTCTAGCTTCTTCATTATTGTTGCATAAAATTAGCAGACAAAAGTGTATATCTGCACCGGAGCTTGGCACCATGGGCAGTGATGGCCATCCTGGCTCTTTGTTAAATATGCAAGGGTGCATCATATGAGGGCGCTCAACGTTGTCAATAGTACAGTTGGCCATTAATTCACATCTCTTTCTGTCCATTGCTTACAGCACAGGGTACATAGGACCCATCAGCATCTATCTGTACTTCATTGTCGGGACAATCATCAACACCTTCCTGATGGCTCCTGTGGTCGAGCGGACGTACAGACAAGAGAAGCTGGAGGGCGCGTACAGGTGAGCATAGAGACATCATTGGTGAGGTCAGTCTGCAAGGATCTGTTTGGAATCAAGCTAGTTCTGCACAACACTCACAAAATTGTGTCTCATTGTTTTAGTGGAACCACCCTGAGCCCTCCAAAATTCTTTAACCCCTTCTTTTGACCGTGACTGCTGGGCTGTGGTATGCCCTGAATGGAGGGCTTTGTCCAGCAGCAGGCCCCATTGAACCAGCAGCTGCATGGTGAATAGACTGTATGTGTGGTATGCACTAATCATCACACAACGGTGCCGTAGTTGCAGTCCTCCGTAGCGAAGTGGTTAATGGACAGAAAACCAATGGCTCAGTCTTTGCATCTTTGCAGTTCATTTGCGTAACTTGTGACTTGAATTCAGACTGGAGGTCTAAGACTTCTGTTAACCTTGTGATTTTCTCAAGGGGCCTCATCTACAAGACAAGAACTGGTGTGATAACTCAACAATTGTGGCCAGTGTGACTGTGCTCATTTCAACTCACTGAGGCCCATTTAACTCTTGATCATTATCCCTCGGATCAATATCTGTTCGGTCTGCTCCTTCGGCTAGGTTCAAGCATGTGCAGATCCGCTCCAACGCGGAGGCAGCGGCCTTCTACGTGGCCAGTCACGTCGAGAGGGAGAAGACCAACAAGAAGTTGAAACGTCTCATCGACACGCAGTCCAACCTCATCAACTTTGACTTCTGGCTGCAGGGTAGGGTCGCTCGCTCTTTGACCCTCTTGCAATTTTGCAGTTGGTCAGTTGTAGGGAGCTTTCAGTAGTGCATCAGCATACATTGAAGGCACTCGTAGTACAGTGGAACGTCGCTGTACCGAACACCGCTATACCAAACATTTGGCTGTACCGAACATCATCCTTGGCTCCCAATATTTTGTGCACAAAACCTACTAAACATTATGGAGTTGCAAATCAACTGAGATTCGGCATAGCATGCATCAGAGATGGATCCGGAGCGGTAGCTTCACGACTTCTGGGATAAACTAAATATCAATTTTGTAACTCAAGATTTAATACAAAAAAATAATTTACCTATACATTTCCAGAAACCTCAAATGTGAATGCAATGGCAAAACATCACGAAAACAGGGAATCATGGCATCACAAGAGGGTGCACTTCAGTTAGACGAGAGGGCGCTATTCAACATGGCAACGAAACATTCGACAGTTAATTTTGCTATAGCGAACGACCGCTGTACCCAACTTTTAGCGTGGACCCCGTCGTGTTTGTTATAGCGGCGCTCCACTGTACGTATGCAGTTGTAGTGCTTGGCATACTACTGGTATATGGCACCAAGGAGCCAGAAACTAACACGGAGAACAGGACACAAGTCGAGTTGATTTCAAGGCAAGAATTAGACTGGGGCCTTGTGGTCAGAATGCTTGGGTTGGCCACTCGTGCCATCATGCCCGAGTGACTTTATTCAATAGACACCATGTGTATTTACCACGCTATGTGAAACTAAGCGGTTTTGTACTAACATTTGTTTATCATGACCACTTAGAATGCTTGGCTATCATCTGTGTGCATATTTGCTTGAGGGCGCCATATAGCCCAGCACAATGAACATAATGTCTCATTCCCAAATCACACTGGCCAATGTCAACCCTTTACATGTTGCCAAATTCTGAAAGTTTTGAAAACAGTGATCAGTATTTTGTTCTGGTTCTCCTTGACAGTGTCGATGAACTTGTTTGATTACATCGGTAGCATCCTCAGCTACGTGGCCATAGCTGTGCCGATATTTGCCGGGGCCTACGATAAACTGGATTCCGACGAGCTCTATAGCCTTATCAGCAAGGTAAGAGGCCAACATGAGGAATCCAGACTAGCCTGAATGTCGAGAGTTGACACCAGGACACGTTATCGCCAAGTCAGGCTATCACCAACAGCTTTCCAGAGTGATTGTCATCTGTCACCATGCACCAGTATATTTACAACTGGCTGTTATTATGGTGACGCTATTCAGCGTGGCATTCATTGAACACTAGATGGTGCTCTTGACACATTCACTGACGTTTCCGCAATGTCGGTAAGCAGTCACAAAAAAAGGGCACTTGTCAGAAAATATCGGGGACGAAGAGGAAAATGTCCTCTCTTCATGCCATGCGCTATGCCACTGAGGTTTTGATCAGCAGTGTATTGTGTTCGTATGGGCTGTCATGTGCAGAGTGTGAAATGCTTGGTGTATGCATTACTTAGTAAATTCAATAGACACTGCATGTAACACTGGATTTCGGTCAGAATCTGGACTTTTATTTTGTCTCCTTCATTTGAGCAAATTGAACAACTCGAGCAAATGATACAAGGTTTGGAGGTGTCCAAAATCCAACCTTAATTTCACCTTCTGCATGAAATTGTTTTCGTGAGGTGTAGCCAAGTTTTTTTTTACAGGACTTGTTTTTTGGTTTCATATTTTGCACAAAGCTCATCAAGTGGTTATTGTGAAATGTACACCTATTTTGTTTTCTCCTCTCTATCACAGAACTCCTTCGTTTGTATGTACCTGATCCACTGCTTCTCCCAGTTGATTGATTTGAGTAATAAAGTCACAGAGATAGCAGGCTACTCTCACAGGTAAGTATCTGAAACCACACACACACACATTACTTGTTTCACATAATTATATGGTGTACATGTAGACATTCTGTTGCTTTCCTCGGATGAAGAAAACTTGAGGAAAATTAGTCTTTTTCCTCCTTTTGTAATGTATCCTTTGAGCTGGATTTATGGTTTCTTTATGATTTCCTGGATGGTACTTCTTCATTTTGCTGCTGATAACCCTGACCCCCAAATGCCTCTGAAGCTATTTATCAAAGAGGGGAGAGCACTGTGTGGACATGTGTGAGTCCTCACAATGTCTCCTTATCCTACAGCATGTGGACTTGTTTTGTTCGGAGGTCCACAGTAGGTCCACCATGCTTGCACAAACACACACAATGCTGATTTCAGGTGTTAATGTGCTCAGATCCCACAAAATGAATCTTATGGGCATTTCGGTTCTTAATAGTCTGTCACACGTTCCAAAATCACCAACTCTGCATTTTCTATTGCTTTTTTTAGCAAATGATTTTCTTTAAGGAGGGCAACTCAAAAGTGGCCCTGGCAACTTGTGACCCAGTTTTGGTGGTCGGGTGACATATGTTGTTCTATCCCAAGTATCCCAGGAACTAAGTATTTTCATTTAAAGATGTAGATGGTGTTGTAGCCCATTTCAGTAACAGGTGTGAAATTAATGTCGTTATGAACTGTCGGTTACAGTTAACATATAATCGGCCAAACCTGTCTCATGTTGAAACTTTTTATATCCATGTCTTTCCATGGACATTCTCTTCTTTGAAAGATACGAGCTGATGAGCATTTATTTGAAATTGCTCTTATATACGTAGAAACACTAGGTTCTAACATGCCTACCAGCTGTACTGATTTAATCAGAACCATTCCTCTATTTCAAGAACCCTTCCAGTTTGTGACTTTTCAAAGACCTAAGCCAGAACATTCTGATGTTTGGAGGAAAGCCAAAAATTTGATAACGATCATGCCCGCTGTATGCTGGACACTGTGACTTTTGCCCAACAAACA